CCTATCAGGCCGATCCTGCTCCGTCTTGCAGAACCCCGCCTCCGTTGGATTGTTCCACTCAGAGTCCAGACACTACTGGTCCTAATTCCTGCCACTCAAACTTCCTTTACGTAGTCGCCAAGTCCCGGCACAGAACTCGGATCATAGTCTCAGCACCCCTCCCACTTTCACTACATTAGAATAACCTCTTAATTTTAACTCCAGGGATTCTAGAAATCCTGAGACGAGACGTCCCAGCCCTGCTCCTCAATCTGAGGACCAAACCTCCCTCACAGTGGTGACTTCGGATCCAGATGCTGCCTCAGGATATTCTAGATGCTTTAACATTTTGTATAAACTAGTGTGTCCGTCTATCTCCTTCATTCTTGCTTATTTGTAGCGATAAGTACCATACAGACTCTTTCGGTCCGAAGTTCTCCTGAATCCTTAAATAAAGAGCTATTATTTTTGCAATGCGAATTTGCAAGTAATTAAGGCCAATTTTCATTCCCCCAGAGCCACTTTTTTCTTAACCTTCGTCACCGGAATCTTCATCTTAGAAACCATCTAGTCGAAAACCTCTCCAGAAAGGGGTTCATAAAGGATAGGAACTGTGCCGAACAGCTCCTTAGATAAGGTTAGAAAGACAAAAACCACAAACACATTTTTTGAGAAACACATTTGCAAAACATATTACAATATAACCTTTTCTAATTTATACTGTTAATCATAATGTAACCATTACAAGTGAAGTCATTGTGCCACTGTGAGTGTGTATAGGATAAACAGTGTACATAGGATCTGGTACTCTCTGCAGTGTCAGGCATCTGCCAGCATCGTGGACGATACAGCTGGTGACAAGGAGGCATTGTGGCACCTGGGAAAGTACTCAGGAAGTTGCTCAGTCGAACCTGTTTTTAATTCCTCCATTATAACCGCTGAGCCACTTTAGTGGGGAGCTAGGATATTTTCCCACTTTAAATAATTAGGATACATTCTCCTCCCATCCTCAACCATCCAGTTTGTCCCTGAATGGCCACATAGAGGGGTTTGCCAGAGACTTCTATGTCAGCCTGCATCTAACCCCATGATTCGAGAGAAACTGACGTCAGAGATACAGTGTAGAGTGAATGCCCAAGGCTTGGAAAGAAAATACTGGAAAATGATAAGAAGAAGGAAAAAGAATAGGAGGAGGGGAAAGGAAGGAAGGAAAAAGAAAAGAAAAGAAAAGAAAAGAAAAGAAAAGAAAGTTAGTTATTGGCCCCTGGGTCGCATTTGGAATCGGAACAATTCTGAGACAGTGAGTGTTTATCTCCAGCTGCTTTCTGCCGACCAACTTTCAGTTCACTGAGCACCTTGCCAGAGGCTTTGAGCATCACCTGAGGAATCAGACTTGTCTTTTGCCAGACATTACACTGCAAAGCCATTGTGCTCACCCATTCATTCCACATTTTCACAAGAAGACCTGCCAAAACCTGCATTTCACCCCAACCAGCCATTCCTATGTTGTTACTTAACTGTCGCTTACAAGACCTGGACCTCTGTCTCCCTGCCTACCACTAGAGCACTTAGGATGAATCTTAAGGTTTCCTCCTTGAGTTCAAGTTTCAAACGCAATGAACTCGATTTTATTATCTCCATTTTATAGCCACTAAAACCAAGGCTCAGATAGTGGCCAGGGAACAGAAAAGCTGAGATCAACCCCTGAAACACTTAATTTAGCCACTCACAACTGTTCTCTTCTCACAGTAGATCTTATGCTCAGAGGAGGCAGAAGTTGATAGTAATACCTTACATGTAAGAGGGTATTCAAAGCAATTCATTGATTTCATATCAATCTGCATATTTACTAGTGTCTTGCCTGGGGTATATACCAAAGGTTGGCTCTATTAACTGTGGGGGAGCAAAAAAAAAAGGTGTGATCCCTTTAACATTCATGAAGTTTGATGACCAATGCCACCATACCAAAACACAGGTTACAACAGAAAAATCACAACAAATTTATTTAATTGTAGTTTTAAATGACACAGGGAGCCTGCAGGTTGAAGAATCAAGGAGTCTGTGCATGCTATGCATTCTTATGTTTACATTTGACAAAGCACTGACAGCCACATAGAAATATGATCAGTCAAACAGAATCTGATCTAACAGGGAAGACTGCAGGGAAACCTGTCTATTCACATTCTTCCCGGGTGCTCCGTGCAGCACTCCTCCTTCTAGAGACAGCACAGGGACCCTTCCCGGGCTAGTGAGCGTAGGATCTAAAATCAAAGAAGACGAAAGAACTTCCAATGGTCAACTCTTACAGCAAAAGGGAGGAGAATGAAGGTTTTATGCTGTGGGATAATGCTCCTGTCCATTGTAAAGTTTTGTCACTCATATTGGTTTAATAAAATCCCGATAGGCCAGTAGCCAGGCAGGAAGAATATATGGGGCAACCAGACTAGGAGAATTCTGGGAAGAGGAAAGGCAGAGGCACAGTCACCAGCCAGATGCTGAGGAAGTAAGATGAGAATGCCTTACTTAGAAAAGGTACCAAGCCAAGTGACTAAACATAGGTAAGAATTATTGGTTAATTTAAGCTGTAAGAGCTAGTTAGTAATAAGCCTGAGCAATAGGTCAATTAGTTTATAATTAATATAATCCTCTGTGTGTTTATTTGGGACTGAATGGTTGTGGAACCATGCAGGACAGAAACTTCCATCTCCAGTTATATATCTGGCTTTAAAGAAAGGGCATGAGTTCTATGACCTGTTTAGGCAAAAGTGAATTCTAATCTCTATTATCTGCCTAGTAAAAGAAGATGGGAAATCAGAGAAATTTGTCTTCTGAGGTATTCAGTTTGTAGTCATTTTCTGATCCCTGACATAGCAAATATTAGTAAGTTTACTATGAAGAGTATAGCTTCTCCTGATCTCATAGAAAATACCATTTTCAAACCTCAACTCTTACATGACCATACCCATAAGATCACCACAAGGTATCATATGTGCCCTACAGCAGGCTCTAAGGTCAGTGCATCAGTTAAACGGAAGCATGCTATAACGCTAACAGAAACCAATAAACAGATTTGTCTTCCTTGCCCACAGCTATCCCACCTACAGAACCTACTAGCATCTGCCATTTTCTACATCCAGATCACACCCAACCCCCACCCCAAGAAGACAGGAAGAAGTGCTGGGGAGGAGGAGTTTCCAGAAGACTTTCTGCTGTGGGACAATGCTTTGTACCCTGCCACTTGTATTTTAAATAAACGCTGATTGGCCAGTAGCCAGGCAGGAAGTATAGTTGGGGTGACCAGGTAGGAAGTAGAGATGGGGTGATGAGAATTTGGGGAAGAGGAAACGGTCAGTCTGCAGTCGTTACCTAGAAAAAGAGAAAACCAGACAGAGAAAGCAAGATGTGACTGCCTCACTGAAAATGGTACCATGCCACAAGGCTAACACAGACAAGAATTAAGGGATACTGTAAGTTACAAGAGTTAATAATAAGCCTGAGCTACTAGGCCAACCAGTTTATAAATAATGTAGGCCCCTGTGTGTTTATTTGGGACTAAACGGCTGTGGAACCTGGTGGGACAGAAACCTCAGTCAACACTTTCCTACTCCTTTGCCCATTTCTCAAACTTGAGGGCTCCATGTAGTTCCAGCTTCAATACTATCAGTGCTACCCTGTCTTATCGATCTGTCGTGAACAGTAGCAATAGTTATTGGTCAGTATCCATGTGATAGCAATTTACATACACGGTCCCTAATTCTTCCACAGAGGAGCTGTGAAGAATCTATTTTACAAATGATAAAATCAGGACTCAGAGAGTATAAAGTATTTGTCAAGAGAACAGATATTAAGTAGAAAAAAAAATCAGGATTCAAAGCTATTCTTTTAGTTTCAAACCCATACGTAGCACTGTACTACAAACTGTATGCCTTATTTTTAGGATAATAAAAACCTCTTGATTTGACCTACATTTCCTGGTCTGGTGCTTCCAGGATGGGAACTGGCCTGTGCTATGAAAACTTGCTCTGGAATTCAACTTTCGTGATTTATTACCAGGTGGGGTCTCACCAGGGGCACTGGTATTAACTTGAGCCTCTGAGTCTAGATGCACAGACACAGTAGTGGCTCAAGTACTCTGGTACAGCATGTCTACAAATGTTTCTGTCCTGTGGTAAAGTCCCAAACTATAGATCAGTCTCTATGACTCAACACACACACACACACACACACACACACACACACACACACACACACACACAGCTGAAAATGCATTCATATTCTGGTGATGAGAATGAGATTTCTATGTTGATTCCTTTTTGCAACACAGTATCATTAGGCATGACGTGTGTGTGTGTGTGTGTGTGTGTGTGTGTGTGTGTGTGTGTCTGTCTGTCTGTCTGTCATTTTGTCTCAGGGAATAAATGATACTGGGAGATGGAAGTGTAACTGTAGAATCTTGTCAGGTTACATTTTGATGGAAATGTATTCTGCACTTTTCTCATTCTTTACCCTTACTGTTCCTTAAAAGCAAATCAGGTCAGCTGGTGGCTCTCAGGTTTGTCACTGCATTCCTTATCTCATTTGTTTGTTTCATTTTTTTTTTTAAAGATTTCTTTTATTTTTAATCAGGCCTATGGGGGAGGTGGTATGTGCACATCAGCAAAAGTGCCTGTGGAGACCAAAAGAGGGCACCAGATCTCTCCACAGCTGGAGGTACAGGCAGGGAGGGCTGAAAAGCCAAGTCAGGTCCTGTGCAAGAGAAGAGTAAGAGGCACCTTTAACCACTGAGTCATCTCTCTAGCCCAGCGGTTCTCAACCAATGGGGTTACAGCCCCTTTGGCAAACCTTTATCTCCAAAACGTGTGCATAATGATTCATAATGGTAGCAAAATTACAGTTATGCAGTAGCAACAAAAATAATTTTATGGTTGGGGGTCACCACAACATGAGGAACTGTATTAAAGGGTCAGAGCATTAGGAAGGTTGAGAACCACTGTTCCTAGCCCCTTATATCCCCACAAGTACAAAAATAACGTATATTTCCACAAGTATTTTTTATCCTTTTTAATATACATTACAAATATTTTAGAACAATGACATTTTGTGTTTACCGTATTTACAAAACAAAAATATATTACAATAAATATGGATGAGACAGTGGGTCCGACCAACAACAAGCTGTCACAACCAGGTACTTAAAAGGCATGCAGAACCTACCGGTCTGCACGTGTTAAAAGTTCTGAGACAGACAGGCGTCCAGACTCATAATGCATCTGGGAAAGAGAGGTGGGAAACCCCCAGGCTTAAGGAGGGGTTCTTTCTCATTGCTAATTGCATAACATTTAGTGGTATTGGAACCATGAACATTAATGAGCTATGCAAACATAATACAAAGCTAATATAGTTCTATTGTCTCAAAATGTACGTGACAGCCACATAATATCCTCTTAATTATTGTCATTATTTACTGTAGTTCACACAATATCTACAAATGTGAATGAAGGAAAAAAACAAAAAGCTCAACAAAACCAAAACAGGTCACATCAACATGTCTCACATCCCAATCTTAAATAGGACAAGCACATACTGGGTAAGACATCATTGTTTAATACGTCAATAAATAACACCTAGGTTGTTATGGTTACTTTGAACAGTTTACAGCTGTATATTTATAAGAGAGCATTTTTTTTGAGAATTTCACATTATCAGTAAACGGTAAAATAAAAAGAAGAACTTTTATAATTTAAAAAAAAGAGAGAGAGAGAGGAGAGAGATCTATACAGAACAAAAGTATTTCCGACATGCTGCCTTTCTGGTTCCGTTTGTCACAAGAATATTTAAACAGAAACAAACAAACAAAATGATTGTCTTCGAAAAGCAACTTTTGGAAAGCTTTTCACAACAGCGAGTGTGACCTTTTTAAGATTAGAACGAATGTCTTTGGACCGCCTGCTCTGTGACTACGCATGTGCACAGCATACATCTACACATGCATGTATGGATAGACAGATGCTGCACATGTGCTCACCAGGAGACCTAGTGAAGTCCCAGCCGTCCAAGCTGCTTACCCTGCAGAGCAGGAAGCACTGAACACTGGGCTGAAACATGACCAGCTGTAGCTCTGCGAAAGCTTCATTCTTGCATATTTCCCCACTACAGGCATCCAACAGCAAACCCAGCAGATGTAATCCAGGAAGGGGGTGGGGTCCAGATTCACTGGGTGGGTGGGAATCTGGTCTCCCAAACTGGCAAGCTATCCGACTGAATCTGAAGGCACACGCAGCTCTCTCCCCAAGGGAGCCCTTCTCCTACTAGTACTTAGCGTTGTCCTCTCTGCTTTACCCATAGCTCCTTACAAACCCCCAGAACACCAGATCCATCCAACTGTGAATGGGCCAAACCTGCCTTCCAAACAGTCGCCCATGAAGAAGGTTTTCTTGACTAAGCAAAAGAAAGAACACTAAGCCAGGTGGGAGCCATTAGAAGGCGCTTTCAAACCAGTTTGGAGTTGTGGCGGTGGTGGGAGTGTCTGGAGGTTTGCCTATAGTCAACCATAGATTTTTTTAAGGGAAAGGGAGCCAGCAGCCCAACATCTGTGACAGGAAGTCGAGCTTTGACATCTCAAAGCTCCAGGTTTCTTTAGCTATCCCGTGCTTGGGTTTGCAGCTCATCCCGGAAAAGTCAGGGGTAATGCCTAGACCTGCAAGATCATATCCCACCATTTAGCCCCTTCTTTCATTGTTAACTCTCTAGAGCAAAATACACACTCTAAAGGAGGTAAGGGCTCTAGTGAATTTCCATTGAGAAATACTCAGTTGGTGATATCCATTGCCCACATTACATCTTTTAAAAATAAAACGCAAACAAAAATATCCCTAAATTAATTCCTTAAAACCATTACGTAATCCAATTATCAAAACATCCACTCATAAATCGTAATCTCGGACAATGAAATGGATGTCATGACTTCCACTTGGGTGGCCTCTGCCCCATTTCCCCAGGCAAAATGCTGAGGAGGCTTCCCAGAGGGCAAGCAGGAACGTCCTAACTCTGCAAGGTCAGCTTGCTAGAGTTCCTCTTGGTGCTATGGACTTTAAGAAACCAAACTTTCACATTCCTGACCATGAGAAATGAATTTGTGAGGAACTTAACAGTTTAGGACTCGAAATACATTACTGGAATTTTTGGTTCATCTGTGAAAATCTCAGAACTGTGATACACACTAAGCATTAACACAGGGCTGCAGCCAGCATAGAAAAAGCCCACAGATTAATACAAGGGCTTCTGGCCTTGGTTTTCAAATTCAGACCAGGCATCGTTTAGCTCCATGAAAATCATCTTTGCATATTGTTCATAGGGTTGCCCAGTAGCCTAAAGAAAACAGAAAGCACAATTAGACGTTTAGCATTAAACTTATACTAAATTCACTAAGAATGTGGATTGTAATTAAAAATGTTCTTCCATTAAGACATTTCTTTTTACAGCCTACCTATATGAACTTCATTATCAAGCACTGCCCTGGAGACTCACAGAGACTAAGAGAAACCTACCAGTAAGGAGAAAACAGGGAGCTTGTTGGGCAGCAAAAAATACATCTCATTGTTAATGAAAGCCCTACGCGTAGTTGACTGTATTTCCAAGCCCCCTTTTTCCAATTTCTATAAAATTAAGGTCTTTGAGACTCATAATAGGGCAGTTTGCCCATTTCTCTGGACTCCGATTTCTCTTCTGACTGAATGAAGTCCAAGCACTAACGTTGTTTCCCACAAATCATTGTGTTTGGTCATATGGAGTGCCGAGAGATGGAAACTGACGCGATTTCAAACATGCCGTCCCAAAGGCACCACAGTCACGACTCCATGTCACGCATCTGCCACCGTTCACACGACAGCAGCGTGGGGTCCTTCAGTCTGAGGTGAATTTGGCCCGGAGGGAGCTGAAGTTCTGACCCTGTGGAGCGCTCGGAATTTATTCAAACCCTAAGCATCAATGGCAACACACACTGACATTTTAAAAATTTTGTCGATCCTCACCAATATTTCGTTTTCCAAATGTACCCTAAAGCGTCTCCTACGGTTCCGGCTGAACGTGATACTGCTTTCCGCAGGAACCGCAGTTTCATTTGAAGTACTCTGTCTCGTTTTAGTATTGTAGTTCAAGATCACCTGTAAACCCTAAAACTAAGTCACTGACGAGTGCTGCATTTCCGTAGTGAATAAGGCGCTCGCCCTGCTCTTTGTAAAGGATGCTTGGGTTGTTTTCCGCCAACCTCATGAAGTACGACTATCTGTTTAGAGACCTGATTTAAATGACCCACACAGTAAGTTTTGTTCAAGAAATGTCTTAATCAGCAAACGGTGAGCATGCTGTTTTACCCCGTGCTTCTCATCCCCGAAACAAGGACCGGACAAGTCTCTGACAGGGCAGGCCCTACCCACCTTGTCAGGGTGCACCACCAGCACAGCCCTCCTGTACACTTTCTTCACTTGCTCTGGTGTTACCAGGTCGGCCATGCCCACCGGCTTCCACTTGGTCTCCCCGGCCCACAGCACCGTGTGCATCGTGGAGAGCAGGGCTCTGATGTTTCGTTCTTTGCCTTCTATCCACTCCAGGATCTGCAAGCAGGAAATAGGAAAGGGTTAAGACAGTCAAACACTTCCTGTCTACCAGGACTCTGAAGATCTACCCTGTTTCAGTAGAACTGAACAAGCGCCCCCTTCTAGCTGGAACACTCCCCCACCTCCCACCTCACCCTTCCGGTGTACATGGTTGTTTAAAACCTGTTCATGGACCTCAGAGTACCCCTCTGTGGTTTGAACTCCTTTCTCTCTGACTTCCTACAGTTAATTATACACTCCTAACATATGAACTTCATGAGGTCACACCCGGACCTCCTTTGTTCCACGAACTAAATAAACCATCCTTGTAGGCTGGCCAACGTTGTGCAAGGGTGTAGCTCAGTGGGTTTGACTCCCAACACAAGGGGGAAAAATATCACCTGTCCTACCATAAGTGGGCCATATTTGTCACACCTTATTGAACTTCTATGTCCACCTTTTCCTGCAGTCACGTGGAACTGTTTACAGAAAGGTGCTGTTTCTTAGACTAGGAACCAAACACCGGCATCTCGAAAGGTTTATTACATGATCCCTTTAGTCACGTAAGCAAACTAACAACCTTTACGGTGTGATAAAGGAAGTGATTGAATGGCAGGTGCGGTGGTTTGGGTGAGAACAGCTCCCATAATCTCATATATATACAGGAGTTCTTGATCCCCACTTGGTGGAAATGCCTGGGGAGGATTAGGAAGCGTGGCCTTGTTAAGAGAAGAAGTGTCACTGAGGGAGAGTGAGTCTTAATTTTTCGAATGGAGCCTATGCCATTCCCAGTTAACTCTTTCATTCCCTATTTCACACTTGTGGATATGAAGTAAGCTCTCAGCTACCGGTCCAGAGCCACGCCTGCCTGCTGTTGGGCTCGCTGCCATGATGATCATGGATTACACCCAGCCCTCTGGAACTGTGAGGCCCAATACGCGCTCTCTTATATAAGTTGCCTTGGTCATGGTGTCTCTTCATAGCAATAGAAAAGTAACTAAAACAGAAGGAATCACGAGTTGGCATCAGCATTTGACACATGCCAAGCTTCAGTAGGTGGTGTTGGTGGATAACCAGTTCAGCTGTGGTTATTGATGGCTACCTTCCTCAGCAATGAAAATCCCGTGCCAACCAAGCGATCACGCAGGGCTTTACAGACAACACGCCTTTCTCTCATAGAAAACTGTCTCCGCCACATTGGAGCACTGGACTGAAATCTCAAGGTCCAAATTAGGAGCAGAAGGAGAGAGAGCACGAGCAAGGAACTCAGGACTGCGAGGGGTGCACCCACACACTGAGACAATGGGGATGTTCTATTGGGAACTCACGAAGGCCAGCTGGCCTGGGTCTGAAAAAGCCTGGGATAAAACCGGACTCGCTAAACATAGCGGTCAATGAAGACTACTGAGAACTCAAGAACAATGGCACTGGGTTTTTGATCCTATTGCACGTACTGGCTTTGTGGGAGCCTAGGCAGTTTGGATGCTCACCTTACTAGACCTGGATGGAGGTGAGTGGTCCTTGGACTTCCCACAGGTCAGGGAACCCTGATTGCTCTTCGAGCTGATGAGGGAGGGGGACTTTATCGGGGGAGGGAGGGGGAAATGGGAGGCGGTGGCGGGGAGGAGGCAGAAATCTTTAATAAATAAATAAATTAAATTGAAAAAAAAAAAAACTGTCTCCGTTTGCCTGATGAGCAGTGGTAATGGAAGTAGATAGCAAGAGAAGCAAGCAAAACCACAGGTCCTTCACTGCATTCAAGAAGGTCTCGAAGGATCCTTTTGTGCACAACTGGTATTTAAATTTGCAGAGACATAGCAAAAGCACTGCAGTCTGTTGTTCTGAAGAAAATGTGAGGAGTCGCCCCGGGAGACGGCTCAACCTAGAGACACTGTGATTTTCAGCATAGTTAATGTCCTACCATCAATGATTCAAGCTCTCCAACAGAGATAAGCCTTAGAACACTATTGTCTTTAACAAAATCTCAATCGTTGAATTTTATCAGTGAAGACTTTGGAAGCCAGGTGCTGGGGTGAAAGCCTGCTAGCTCAGAGAGGCAGAGAAAGCACCCAACTGACCTTCCTCCTCACCTGGCAACCCAGGAGCCTCCAACCTTCTCCACACTGTCTCAAACAAGACTCTTCAAACTGAGTGTGCCTCCCGTCTACTTCCTGTGTGTCTCTCTGTCCGTCCTCCTGACTCCCTCTTACTCTATGGCTTTTTTCTTAATAAGCCCATGTTTACTTCTTGCCAACTGGTTGCTTGACCTATGGTTGATTTATTTAACCCTGTTTTCAACATTCAAGCGGAAAGATCTTGGATTAAAGGTGTGTGCTAGGGCTGAGCCACACCACTACTAGAAACAGGTTTTCTCCAGAAAATAACACAATTTTGGGGTTCAAAGTGTGCTCAGATGTCCTGCAACATAACTCGTTGATCTTTATGTACTCATCAATAACCCCACCCCATTCGTCTTCAGACCACCTTCTGCCTCCAGGTTGATCTGCATCCAGTTGTCCACACTACAGCCTCACCTGGGAAGAACTCCCTTATCGACGAGTTAAGGAACTTGGATCCATTGAGTGACAAACCTCTATTTTAAAGTGCAAAAATACAACAACAACAACAACAACAAAATCATTCTCCTTTCCCTCAAACCAATTCTTACCAGAACTTTAGAATCAAAAACAGATGTTTTGTTTTATTTGTTGTTTTAAGAACTTCTTTAGCTTAAAAATGGGAGGAGGGTATAGTAGAGGTCATGGTCCTTCCTCACCATCGTTAGCCTCCTTTCCTCAGTCTATACAAACCTCATGCCGGATTGTCTCCAGAATGGTAAATCCTGAGCACAGGAATATTCCTCTCCCGATCACCAGAGAACCGAAACCTGGTTTTACTCCACCAAGAACAACAGAAAGTTCTCAAGGTGGCAGAAAACACAAATGGTGAATTGTTCTTACCAAACTCTAATGATCCATATTTATAATCTAAAGGCTTCTGAACTATGTAAAGTCAAATATCATTGTTCATCTGGTGGGCAAATGTAAGAAATCTGTATTACCAAACCACAGACTAAAATGAGTTTATTAGCACAACTAAGCATCATGCTCAGACCTTCCCAAAGCTACTTTGCTATTGAAGATCAGGACTGTCTTCAAACCACAGCTTCAGAGACCTACTGTAACTCAGTGACTGCCAGAAGGAAGCGCCTTCCATAGTTGATATGGTCGGTGTCCCACCCTGGAGTCAATGTTGAGTTTTAACTCTCAAAGTAGTGCATGGCATTAGGAGGCAGGACCTTTACGGGTGTTAAGATTTAAATTAAATAGTTCTCCCCAGGCTCTTGTTTTGAGCACCTGAGGTGTGGGAGGTCCTTCTGTCTATGTGTTGTTTTTATTGGCTAATGAATAAAGAAACTGTCTTGGCCTGTGATAGGGCAAAAGAATAGAGCTAGGTGGGGAAAACTAAACTGAATGCTGGGAGAAAGGAGGCGGAGTCAGGGTGAAGCCTTGGAGTTGCTGCCAGAGTCAGACATGCTGAAACCTTGCTGGTAGGCCATGAGCCTCATGGTAAAATATAAAATAATGGAGATGGGTTAATTCTAGATGTAAGAACTAGTTAAGTAATTGGCCAAGCAGTGATTTAAATAATACAGTTTCTGTGTGATTATTTTGGGAGTCTGGGCGGCCAGGAAACAAACACGCGGCCTCCTTACTACACACCTGCTCACCAGTGGATGGTCTCTGGGAGACTGTGGAACCTGTAGAGGGCTTAGCTAGTAGAAATAGCTCCCTAGGAGTGGGCCTTCAAAGGTTCTACCTGTTCCCCTCTTGCTTCAGTACTTCTCTCCGACCTTCCTGTCCACTTCCAAGTGAACAGCCACTCTGCACATTCCCACTGCCAGGCCTTTCCTGTCACCATAAACTGAAATCTCCACGAGGCAAAACAAATTGTATCTGTCAAGTATTTAGTCCCTAGTGACCAACACAAAGGCAACAAATACAGAGGTGATTGGACAGACATGACTTCGTCGCACAGCTTTGTCCTATAGGATAACCGAGGGGCTCACTCACCTTTAATTTCTCAGGATCCATTTCCTTAGCCATTTCCTCCTTTCTCATCTCAGCTATTGTCCGAGGCCCCTTCTTGTCTTTGTGGGCATTAAACCCTTGACTAGAAAGCAGGTCTTCAAAGTCAGCAGCCTTTTGTTTCCCTTCTGTAACACAATGTGTGGAAACCATCACAACTTTCATTCTTAAACAGGTCAGACCCTCACTTCTCGGGAGTACGGGGCTTCAAAGTAGCTTTTCATACTTCCATCCTCTTCCCACCTGCCTCGTGCAGAATACTAAAGGCTCTGTGTAACAAATGAGGAAACTGGAAGGCTAGGGAACCAAAAGAGCCTGTCCAGAATCACACAACATGTCCATGAAAAGCACAGGACTGGAGTCTGGATTGCTAATGCCTATTTCATCTCCAGGTTAACCTTGCAGACAAAGATACAAATGATTCTATCCCAATTACAACAAACTGGTGTCAGAGATTAGACAAGAGCATAGATTCAAGTCCTGGACATTCTCCCTGCTATCACTTCCCTGTCTCTACCCAGCTGATGACTTCACTGGGTCATAGTGCCTTTCTTCAGAAAGTCAGGTCTTTCCTGGAAACAATGCTACGTATCTGAAACCCAGCTATGACCAAAGGGGCACTGGAGATATCTATACCTCAGTTTCTTAATCTAGAGAATGAGGATGGTGTTAACAATACAGTGTTGCCATGAGAAAGAGCTAAAAGCCTGCCTGGTTATCTCAGTGTTCACTTGAAAACAAAACTGAACAAAACCACAACAGCCCACGTGGTTGGTAGTAATTGACCCAAGGTATTTTTGTTCCCGGCTGGGAATGTTCTGCCATCTATATTCTAAAGAAGCCACATTCACATGTGTGCACACCAAAATTAAGTGCTCCTAGGAGACACTCACCCTCTATCTACTCAAAAACAAAATGAAGGGGATGCCATGCAGCTCAACAGAATTGCCCAGAGGATCTCCCTGCTAGCGAAAGGCTAAACATGACATCATACGTTCCCAGCACGTGCATTTCTGTCACAGCAGTGCTGTGAGCAACACTGGGGTTGTGGGCAGCTGGAAGTGACAGCGGTGCCCAACAACTGGGAGTCAAGTCCTGGCTCTCACACATTTCAAGAAACTGAGAAATTACTTTAGAGATCGACCTCACAGTTCCGCGTCTGTAACAGAGGATTGGTTTTGAAGATATGCATGGAACTGCCTGGGATACCGCTGCACGTAGTACACTCTCAATACATGTTAACCACTGTGAAGAAAGAGGGTCACCTTTATCCATGTTCCTCGAAGGGAATCATCAAACTAACTGAGATGCTAAGTGCACTGACACCATCTGACAAACTCAATTGTAATAGATACTATTTTTACCTCAGTGACAAGAATCTCATCTAGTGGGGCTAGGGAGACAGCTCAGCAGTTAAGAGCATTTGCTGCCGTGACAGAGGACCTGGGTTCGATTCCTAGCACTTACAATGTGGTCCATAACCACCTATAACTCCAGTTCCATGGAATCTGAAGCCCTTTCTGACTTACTTGGACAACGGGCATATACATGGCATACATACATACACATAATTAATATCCGTACATATATAATACTATAAATCTTTAAAAATATGTTTTGTTTTTAATTCAGTCTAGGACATCTTCCAGTCCTAGGCAGTGGCATCATCACCGGTGCCCTCAAACTCAGGAATCCGCCAACTACCTTTCTCACGGCAATCCAAGAAGAAAACCTAATGCGATTTTGACAGGTTCCAATCCTTTTCTCCTAAGAATACTTTCTTTCTTCCAAAGGCTATAGTTCTCTGTTCCATTTATCCATCCAATCAACATGTATAAAGATTTACAATACAGCAAGTGCTATGCAAGGTTCAAAAACCTGTGACAAACGTCTTCCTTCCTACTCCAGCATGGAAAAGGAAAGACCGAGTGAGCCACAGTCACATGACACCTACATGGGGTCATGGTAGACCCAGGCGCTCCCTCCACACACAGTACTGGGGGTGAGGATCACCTGATATCTCTTCAGCTCTTAAGACAGTCTCATAAACAATAGGATTGGTTTTGGTCTCCTTCAGACATAACGTCCCCAGCAGTGTGACATCACGGGCAGGTCACCTGACACCAGTTTCATCTCATCATCCTCACCTAAATTAGAAGATCCTTTCCCACGTTCGCTCTGTCCCGCAGGCATAGCTGAGAAGCTCACGTTGTAATTGGGTCGGTTCTGTGGGGAGGAGTGAGGCATACCGGATGGCGGCTTAGGCTGCGCCTGCTGCCAATTATAGCCCGCGGGCTGCTGCCACCCTCCACCCATCGGCTGGGGGGATGCTTTCTGCGGTGAGCTGAGAGGTGGAAACCCTCCGCCTAGTCCAGTTGGTGTGGTAGGTTTGCTGGCAAAGGAAGAGCTACCTATGGAGGAAAAGGGAGAGAGGCGGTAAGGATCTTTGCAGTGGCTTCAAACTCGTGTCCCGAGGCATTGCTGGCAATGATTTCAGTGGAAACGTCTTTGGGTGGTACCAGAATTCACCTCCCTAAGAGGTAAAGAAAACGCAGGCGTGTCTGCATAGCCGTTATTCCTTAATTAGCCCAGTGGCACTTTTAGGTAGTATCCTTGCCTCGTTCATTTCTTCGCATGAACAAAAAGCAACCAGGAGACCTTTAGTGGACTTTTTCTATAACAGCCAGCATACAGCAGAACACTCGAAATAGACCACTGAGTACAAACCAGACTGTGTCACCCTGCCCAGCCTGCCCTGCTCTAAGCAAGTTTTATTTCTTTACTAGAGTCAAAACTACCAAGTGACAAGCACACGGGATAAAACAAACGGCCTCTTTAAGGTTCTGCTTAAATGTCAATTATTAGGATTACTGTTTGCTAGAAGGAAAAGCCGGGTTAGGACACAAGAGCAACTATAGATGTTTTAAAAATTTACAGCTAGGTTCCAATTTTACACTGCTTGCCTTCCTTTACAGGAGGGCTGGCATTTGTGGAGGTCAAATGAGAACCTGAAATGTCATGATCTCCACTGATCCTTCAAAGAGCCAAAATCGTGATGATACTAAAACAACCAACACTCACAGAGCGCTTCAGAGCACAGCAAGTGTCAGCCAGACGTATCCCTGGATGGGTTCAAAGAAAAGGGACTCAAAGCCAAGGTTCGTGGGCAAGCTCGCGATCACACAGCTGGTTAACGGAATGCCCTGACTGCGGGCATCTTACCTCTGCACCTCTGCACCCAGAGTCTCAAGATCCTCCCAAGGCTCTGAGCTGCTACTAAACTCACCCCTTACTTTGTCTCTCTTCTACAGCTACGTCCTTTCATCTGGACCCTGAAACTGCTCTTCCCTTTCACACTAGGATGCTGTGTTATAGCTACTGAACTTTGAGTCAATCTGTTGGAGTCCGGCGGTGGCACTGGTGTCCCATCCACTCTCGGACGCATGTACTCCGAAGTCACCCACCAGCGGTTGTTGGATGGCTGCCACGTGCCAGGTACTGTTGGGAACTGGCGCTATCCACAAACAAGGCTCTCTGCTTTTCTAAAGCTAAATGAATTTCTTTTTATTTCTGTGAGCTTCCATTTTCTCATCTACGAAATGACTACGTCTTTATCAGAGGTACAGCATAAACAAACAACCAGTTCAAGGAGGGCTTCATGGTCCCTGAATTAAGTAAACTCAGGTACACTACACGTCACAAAACAGGGCCAATAACATGTGTGACACACTGTAAGGGACTCAATAAGCATTTGGTCATAGAACACAATATTTGTCTGCCATCCCTGCAGGCTGTCACGCTATCATATCACTGTCCCTGTCATTTCCTGTCACCATCCCCACTTTCTGAGGCAAGGTCTTACTACGTAACCTACATGGTCTAAAACTCCCTATGTATGCCAGGCTGGCCACCATCCTCCTGCCTCACCAGGAATGCAGCCAACACCAGCAAGTTCTGCTTGCTGCTGTCATTTGACAACATACAACAAGAAGCCCTCTTCAGGGGCCCCCTGGACCCTTTTGTCCCTAGCACATCAACATAAGGTTAGGCATTCATTCTGTATCGTGGCTTCATTTTATATTTTAAGAATGCTCACTTGATTCTAAATACATCTGTTCATCATTTTAACATTTGATGTATCTCCTACACATAGGGGGAAAAACACCCATGAACCAAAGGCATCTTCCAAATTCCCACTACAGCCATCACTTGTCCGTTCATTTAGGAACCACTTTGAGCATCTTCTACACACCAGGCTGTGGACCCAGAAATGAAGTGGTGGGTGCTGATATCGCTCTCCTGGGGCCTGTGTGGCTTTGTAACATCTAACTTGGCAAAGTAAGTCATGTTTACATGCAACAACAATTCTATATACTGATGCTATCGAAGCAGTGAGCTGCCCAAAAGACAGCATAGTTGCTAGGCCCAGATCACAGCCATCCCACAAGAGCTGAAGAAGGCACAGTTTTCAACCTTGGCTGTGCATCACAATCATCTAGGAAACCTCTCATTCAATGTCTCACCTAGCATAGCACCTACACAGTGGATATTCTTTTTTTTTTCTCGAGACAGGGTTTCTCTGTGGTTTTGGAGCCTGTCCTGGAACTAGCTCTTGTAGACCAGGCTGGTCTCGAACTCACAGAGATCCGCCTGTCTCTGCCTCCCAAGTGCTGGGATTAAAGGTGTGCGCCACCACCACCCAGCATCACAGTGGATATTCTATCTCTGATTAACGTTTCTCTCTCCTAACATGCCGTAGGGTCCCCTGGGAAGGAATGCTGTCTGCCGCCAGTCAGCATTGCATCCAGAGTGCTTAGCAGAGGGCACGTAATCACAAATACCCAGCAGATGAGGAAACTGAAGCTTATTGGTTGAAAATGGAGGTGGTCTCTCTCTAGGACCTCCTAGCAAGTCTGAGAGGATTAAAAATCCCCCATCTTTCATCTTCTCTTTTGACCCGCCACCCACTTCTATTTGTTACCTCTATGAAATGGCAAGTGGTTTCCACCATTACTGAATTCAGACTGTCTTCCTAAAAGACAAAACTAACTGCTTCCTGGATTTGCACAGAAAGTACAGTAAAACAGTTCTGAAGTCTTTCTTGGGTGGGCCTTACCTTCCCAACCCCACTTCTCCCACCCCTATCTCCACAGAGCCCAGGCCATCTGACAAAAAGTCATCTTAGCTATTCCCTCCCCTCTGATGGACATCTTTGTCTTATTTTTGGTCTTAGGAGGAATGCTTTGAGTTTTTGCTCTTTTTAGTACTGGCTACAGGTTTGTCATATAGACTATGTTAAGATATGATTTCCCGCCGGGCGATGGTGGCGCACGCCTTTAATCCCAGCACTCGGGAGGCAGAGGCAGGCGGATCTCTGTGAGTTCAAGACCAGCCTGGTCTACAGAACTAGTTCCAGGACAGGCTCCAAAGCCACAGAGAAACCCTGTCTCGAAAAAACAAAACAAAACAACAACAAAAACAAACAAACAAACAAAAAAAAACAAAGATATGATTTCCCTCCCTTCTTAGTTCTTCAAACACTATATCATCAAAGGATGTTGAATTGTATCAAGAATCTGTCATTGAGTTCATTTATGTGAAGCATTATATTTATTGACTTACATATGTTGAACCATCCTTGCATTTCTAGAATGAAGTTAAATTGATCACTGTGAATGATCGTTTTTATATAAATTCAGTTTCCAAATATTTTACTAAGAATTTTTTTCATCTAACTTCATCAGGGAGATTGACCCATAATTTTCTTTTACTGTTGTTCTTGTGTTTTTATCTGATTTAGGTAACAGGATAAAATTGGTTCCTGGGTGTGCACCTTTCTTTTAATTTTATAGAAAGCTCTGAGCAGAGTTTGCAGGTGTTACAGCTCTGGAGAGAAAGGTACGCTATCAGAAGTCAGATTCTCCCCGCAGGTGCTAGAGATCTAAAGGGAAAGGTATCCTGACTCGTCAGGAAGTCAGGCTATACCTAAAGCTGGGTTATTGTGGGAGATGGTCTCCCCACAGGATGTGGCAATCCTCCTCCTCTCTGAGAGAGTCACTACAGCTGAGCTCTGTCCCACTCTGCTAAGAGAGTTTCCCAGCAGAGATTCTGATCTGCTCTGGGCAAAATAAGGTCTTCACCCAAAACTCTTTCAGGAGATTTATTTGAGAGGGAGGAATCCAGGAGAGTGGCTGCCTCTTCCAGGGTAGAGAAGGGTAGTTGTCAACTGAACAGGCACAGGACTTATAGAGGGCTTCTTAGGGGTGGAATTTTTCCAAGGAGAAGATTTTCAGGGAGGGAACTGGTCAGATTTCAACCTTTTTGAGTTTGGACAAGCTAGATTGGCTAGATTTCTTGCTCATGGGTTAGTTGGTTTTCCTACTCAGGGATTGGTTGGCTTCATGCTCAATTGGTCAGGAGCAAATTTGGCTCTGATTTCAGGGCCAAAATATGTTTCTTTCATTGGCTCTGGTTTCATGATCATGATAGGTTTCTTTGGCTGGCCCTTTTGTCCTACAGGGTTGGTGCCACTTACTCTGCAATGATATGATGGTATAATGATATAATTTTGCCATGAACACATCTGGGCCTGAGTTTTTTCAGTTGCAGATTCTTTGTTTGTTTGTTTTTGGATTACTGCTTCAATTTCCTTGCTTGTTAGAGAGCTGATTGAATTGTTTTTCATCTTTACTTAACTTTGTTAGGTCAAATCATCCAGAAATACAACCATTTCTTTTAGGGTTTCCAATTTAGTGGAATCCATGTTTTTAAAGTATGTCCTAACGAATTTATGAATTTCACTGATATCTGTTATAATTTCTCCCTTTTCATCTCTAATTTTACCAATATGAGTCTTCTCTTTCTCTAGTTTGGTGAAGGTCTACCCTACTTATTGACCAATTCTTCACTTCATTGATTCATTTCTTGTATTACTTTGTTCACTTCTATTTTCATTACTTTATGCCCCAATCTTAATCATTTATTTCCATCCACTGCTTTTATATTTGGCTTGTTTGGGGCTGAGAATGAAGAATTCTAACATAATATTGATTCAAAGCCTTTCTCTCTTCCCAGTGGTAAACCTTCACTTTTCTATAAATCTCACCAGAAAAAAATCTCCTTTACAATGAAAGTGTGTGCCCTAAACCCCTTGCACAGCACTAGTGGCTCCTGTTGTTGTTGTTGTTGTGTTGTTGTTTGTATCAAGTTCTAATCCCATCCAAGGCACCTCTTGAGCCGCTCTATAACCTCATTAATTGAAAAGGAGGCAAAAAAGCTTCTAGCAACTCTTTGAGACAGAATGTGAAAGAAAGCCAAACAGTCTATATGGCTAATGCTAAGACAGATGTGGCTCTACGTTGAGACGCCCACACCCATGCCCTCAAGCGCATCTTCATCTCGTCTTCGGTGCCTCCCTCTCTCTTAACACTGATGCTTAGCCTCCAATTCTGCTTCGCACTGAGGCCAAGGATCCAGTTTTACCTGAAATAAAGTCCCGTAATGGTTAAGGGAAGTCTCGCACTGCTATAGGAACAGTGTGGCGCTGTGGTGCTGTCCCTGCCACGGTTGACATTAGCATCAAATATTACTCAGATCTTAATCTCATAAGTTCATACCTAGTGTCCCTAGGTCAGCGAAGGGATCCAGAGTCTGTGGCTTGCTCTGATGGGTAGGGGTGCCATGTGATGAGCCTGTTGGGCTGGTGGCGGCTGATTTGCTTCCCATTCCAAAACCCCCTGGAAAGGAATGGAACCCATTGAAAATGAGTTAGCTCCCCGAGGCAGGATGCTGAGAGTTGGGGTTTCAAAGCACCTGCTCAGCTAACCCTAAGACAAATTTGGATGGAGCATAAAAATGTGTGCGAGGTCCCAAGATGCTGTTACTCTGATTGAGGTGAGTGGTGACCCAAAGCGAGGGTAAGACATGGGTCAGGCATCTGCCTTTCTTTGGCCATGCATGTTATTTCCTGACTTTCTCTCTCTTCAGAGATCAGGAGTCAGACTTTATCTGAACTACCCCAGCCGCCCTGGGATCTTGCTTATCATCTTCCAACTGTAAGATTTTTAACTTAAAATTTTTTTATGAGTATCTTATATTATGTGTGTGGATGTTTGGCCTGTAAATAAGTCTGTGCACCATGTGTCTGCAATACCACAGAGACCATCAGTCCCCTGGAACTAGAATTACAAACAGTTATGAGCCACCATGTGGGTGCAAGGAATCTAATCGAGGTCCACTGCAAGAGCAGACAGTGTCAAAAAAACAATTCAAAGTCACAGGCAATAGAAGCAAAAAGTAGACAAACTGAACTAGAAAAACCCGTGTGACAACAAAGAAACAAGTAAAGTATACGATGGGGGGACAATATTTGCCAACCATTATTCTGATAAGGAGCTTGATATATATGTGTGTGTGTGTGTGTATATAAAACAACTTAGTTATAAATTGACAATAACTTGATTTAAAAATAAGCCAAGGACTTCTCGCCAAAAAAGACTTGCAAATGACCAGAACACATAAAAAGATTCTCAACATTGCTGGTCTTAGTTACTTTTCTATTGCTGTGATGGGACACCAGGACCAACGCAACTTAGGATAGAAAAAGTTTACTGGGGCTCACAGTTCCAGAGGGTTAGAGTCCACGGACATCACTGTGGGGAGCATGCAGCAGGCAGCCACAGTGCTAAAGCAGTACCCGAGCGCTTACATATTATCCACAAGCACGGGGCACAGAGAGCTAACTGGGAATGGGGTAACATTTGGAAACTTCAAGCCCACTCCCAGTGACACACCACCCCCTTCTCAAACAGTTCTGCCAACTGGGACCAACTACTCAAATAGAGAAGCCTGCAGAGGTCATTCTTATTCAAATCACCACCGTCACTGATTATTAGGGGAAATGTGAATCATGGAAGCAATGAGATATTACCTAAGATCTGTCAGGATTGACATTTGTCAAAAACTAAGTATTTGAAGAAAAAAAAACCCAGGAGATTCTAAGTGGTAGGACTAATTCAGATCCATCTAATTATATAGTTGAGACAGATATAAAATAGATGATCTTGTAAAGTCAAACCATAGATATATATCTTTATAATATATTGTATATATATTATATTGTAAATTATTTATTTACAAGACTTATTGCAGTTTACTTTTACAAGTTAAATATATATAACTATATGTAGTATATATAATATCTATTTATAAAAATATAATATATAATTCATATAATATATATTATGTCATCAAGTGCATTGGAAAAAGTGCTGGCTAGAATATAGATCATTAGGAATAATCAACTACACAGCAGACTATAATATTCCAAGTATCCACCTCATCTTGGGTGAAGGACTATGCATTTGCTACTGGTCACTTGTGTACAAAAATAACCTGCTGGCCCTTACCTGGTTTGGTATGCCAGTCCCAACCTCCAGCAACATCTGGCTGGATGTTCACAGCAGGTGTGCTCGAAGCTGTAAATAGAGAGAAGATGAATGAGAACAGGACGGCTGGGAGCCCACCTGTCTGAGTTGGCACAGGACAAAGCTGTCTTCTCCAGTCTGCATGGCTTCTCAAAGTCTAATGGATTCAATCCTCCTACCCACTCTGCAACAGGAATATGTTCTGCTTTCATCTGCGCATGCTCATGAGAGCTGGGTAGAAACCCTAGGTTTTCTCAGTTCGTTCTTTGGCTCACCTTTGTGTTACCTCCATATCCACCCACTAGGAATTATAAGTGTGCATGTCTGTCCTCATTTAATGCTGAGTTCCTTGAATGCAAGAACTGTCTTATTCATCTTTGTGCACCCCACTAATATACTTAACATTCTGGGCCATGCAGAAAGAGGGAAAATATCCTTAAACTCAGCCCAGCTTAGCTTAGCCTTGACAAGGGCACCCAAGTATGGGCTGCTCAGAACTGGGAACTTGGTTTCTCCTTGGCTGTGGCAGGGATTGAGAAGGAGGAGCATTCTGAACACTAACTGGGCAAACACAATGTATCTCCCACTATGCTGGTGGCAGACACTTGTCTACTGTCACTCAAAAAGAAACCCATTAGAGCTTCAAGAGAGATCATTCTGACCTCTAAGAAGTTCTGAGCAGAGCTGAGATAAAATGTGTTGTGACATGAAAGGGTCCTCCCTACAACCTGGCCATAAACATCGGCAGGTAGACCTCAGTCACTAAACTAGCATTACAAGTGGGACTGGAAACACACACACACCCACACACCACGCCATACTACATACAGACAGACAAACACATCACATCACAAACACACATACACTACACTCATCACACTACATATACAGACACACATACTACACACCACACACATACCACACACATCACACCACACTACATACATACTATACATACTCCATACTACATATAAACACACACTTCATACCACACACACACACATGCATGCATACATACTACACATACACCACGCGGTATACAGACACACACATGCATGCATACTACACATACACCACACTGTATACAGACACACACATCATACCACACACACATGCATACATACTACACATACACCACACTGTATACAGACACACACATCATACCACACACACTCCACACATCACACTACATACACAGACACACACATCCCACTACACACATCACACACACAGACAAAGGACCCAAGGCACCAGGGTGAGCATCCAGGCTTCACAGTCATCTACTGTCAATAGCTCACGTGCCTTTCTATCAGGTCATTAATTAAAAAGCACACACCATTATCAGTGACGGCGGCTCTTTCCTTTCTGCTTTCCCTTGCTCCGGCTCCATAGCAACCCACGAGAAAAGGTCAAAAGTAGACAGCTTTGTCAATATTTGCTGTCTGGTTTTCTTAACATTTTATGTTTGTCTTGTATCCATCAGGATAAAAATGAGGGAGGGAGAGGGAGAGGGAGGGGGAGAGGGAGAGAGAGAGAGAGCCCCCAAAGTGCTGGAATAAAGATAGTACAGACGAAAACTGGGAAATGAGGTCCCAGGCATGAGGATGGTACAGTAAATAGGGTTTACACAGGCCATGACCAGGGCACACAATGCTGGCTCTTATGTTGGGTGAAATAAGAAGCCATTATAAACTCATAGGTGGCCTGGATTACATGTAAAAGAGAAAACAGTGATAACATTAATCATCACCCCTGAATCTGAAATGTGGAAAAATAGGATTCTTAAATCAGCAAAATACGATGTTAAGTTATTGAGTAGATAGCCCAGATGATATGCTAATGAGTGACTGCTATAAAAATATTAAGATGGCTTGTATTCTTTGATTGTGCAGTAAACTTCGGGATTTGTGTTTGTTTTATGCGTGGAGCACATTTCAAGTCAGAGTAACCATGTTTCGAGTGCTCTGTAGCCACGCACAGCTAGCAGCTGTCACATTAGACAGACGTGTCCCCATACATCCATGTGGCGTGTCCCAAACTCTGCTCTGACAACTGATAACTTTATGCAATGCTAACATCATATTTTACTAACTTAAGAAGCCGACTTTCTTACATTTCAAAGATCTCTGTAACTAGGACATAGCTTCCCAATGATTTGAAGTGGGAGCATTTTTTTCTTTTTTACTGGTACACAGAGTGATAACATATGTTATAATCAATGGTGCCCTCTGCTTTTGGGTGTGCAGCGCTAGAGTAAAAATAAGCAGAAACCCACAGCCCAGTGCTTTCGGGACCATAGTGAAACCAAGTTAAATGTTAAATGAGTCTCTTTCCGGTAAGAGTTTTTAAATATGTTAATAAATTGTCAGTTTCTAAAGGCTTTACACACACACACACACACACACACACACACACACATACAAAGATGCATTTACATCTCAGTACTCTGCGTTGTCTTATGAAAAACCACTCCATTATTCCATTAAGTGCCATAGAAAACACTTTCCTACCATGCACTGTAGGGGAAGGACTTCTGGTGGGCTGCAGAAAAGGGTCGCTAGAAGCATTGGATGTGTTCAGAAAGGAGCCCAGCAAATCCTGACCTGGTGGCTTAGCAGGAGCTCCAAAAGGGTCAAAGGTGGTACCTAGAAAACAAAGGGAAAACATATTTCTTTATCCTGCCAGTTCATTGCTGTATAGCTACCGAAGGGCTGCCGCTGCTGCCTTGTCAAACACTTGAAAGACCAGGCTGAAGCTTGCCTCCTGACCTCTCACCCCTTCCTAGACTTAGAACTTCCTCCAGAACTAACAGTGGATCACAACACGACAAGAACCGTCCCACCCATGTAGATGGAAGAGACTGGACTTATTTATTAGAAATGAGGATCCAAGTAACTTTTATAAATCCTGTGTGTACACATGCATGTATGTGTATACGTGTGTGTGTGTGTGTGTGTGTGTGTGTGTGTGTGTGTATACAGGACACCACAGAGCAGGTATCTGTCCTCATCCTCTGCCTTGCTTGAGACTGTCTTGTTTTCCTGCTGCATTCATCAGGCTAGCCCGCCTGGAGCTTCTGGGGTTGTCTTCCTTTACTTCCCATCCCCTTGCAGAAGTGCTGGGATTACAGATGTTCATACAACATGCCCAGCTTTTATGTGGGTTCTGGGGGTTCATACGCAGGTTCTGTTTTGCTCAATTAGTCATCTCCTCAAGACAGATTTTGATAACATAAGAGCAGCAAATCATAGCTACAGACTAGCTAGAAGACAAGATCAACACACATGAATCCATGAACTGCCCAAACTAGGTACAGGCTACAGAAGTTTGGTGACAAATGAGTGTTCATGTAAAAGGAATTAATGGGAGAAAACAAGCAGGGGGCACTGCTATAAAGGCAAATAGCAGAAACCCCACTGACTGGACTAGGACTATAGCTCAGTTGGTAGAGTGCTTGCCTACCATACGTGAAGCCTTGCGTTTGATCCCCAGAACCACAAAAGACTAGGCAAGATGGTACAGGCCTGTAATCCCAGCGTTTAGAAGGCGGAAGTGGGAGGATCAGAAGTTCAAGGTCATCTTGGGTTACACAGTGAGTTCAAACTCAGCCTGAGTTACGTAAGAGCCACGCCAAAAGAAAAGGCCAACCCCACTAAGTAGGTCTTTCTTTAACTTTCTCCCTAAGTGACCTTCAGCTCACTTAAAAGCTAAAAACAGAATAAAATGAGGGTGAAGCTGCATTCTCTTGAGTCCACAGGATCAAGCATTTCGAAAACACTGACTCAACAGCCTGCTAGGAGCTAGAGAAAGCTGGGTGGAAACTAGGAGTGTTGAAGGCCCTGGTTGCCAGCAATAGTGAAGCTTCCTAGGGCTCTACTGTGTTCCGGGGAAGACCTGAAGGGGTGGGGCTCAATTTCTCCCTGTCACCTTCACCTCAACCCTTGTGAAACTGAGGATCAGAAACTTGCCCTTGTTCAAGTCCAGGAAACACTATTCTAGACCCCCATTCAAATCTTCCGGCTCCAGGTAATCCCCACAAGCCTTCGTCATGAAATGAACAGGATGCCTACCAAACACTGAGCTGCATGGAGACAGCTGCCCTCTGATTTCTCACTGTTGAGCAAGGACCAAAACCTCCTTGGGCTACCTAAAGTGAGATGTCACTTCCAAATCGGTAGGCGCCAAGCCCATGACAGCCTGCTTCGTGGAGCGGGGCGGGGCTGACCCATTCTAGAAATAGAACCTGAGGACCAAACCAGCGAACAAACACTTCCCACTGTCACGACATAGTGGGGCATGTGGCTCACAAGTTCACAGTTATGACGTCACTGGCATAATGTGCCCCCAACACCGTGGGGCAGCAGGTCAGCTTCTTGTGGCAGTACCTGCACCGTTTCAGACAGTGTAGCCCAAGGCGCACATGCTCTCTGACACAAGAACACTGGGGTTAGCAGGGTGACCGGAAGAGAACAACGGGTCAGCCCATCAGATTATAGTTGATGCTAACCAGTGGAGAAGATAGGAAAGACTTCTTAGATTGTCGAAGCACTTTTCATATCACCTTATTCTAG